AAAACAAAATATAATTTATATATAAATAAGGTCTAACCGGGGCCTTCCTTACATTTTAAATTTGTTTTTTTTTACATTTTGTTTTCATTTCATTTATTTCATACAATGTAATATAAAAAAGCCAGCATGGCCAATAACGTATATAAAAAAATCCAAACAAAGAATAAACTAAAAAAATTAATAATACATAACAATAAAAAAACTCTACAAAATGAAATTTAAATTTTTCCCAAAAATTTAATTTTTTCCAAAAAAAAAAAGAACCCCGACCCACTGTACTTTACTTAACTTTCGCTAAGAAAAGTGGAGGGGAAAGGAAGCATAAGGAACCCTACATAAAAATAAACTATATATCCCTCTCGAGCCCAAGAGCAATACTAGCACCACAGACATTAAATTTCATATGTACAAGCGCATATGTATAAATCTATAATATAAATGCTAACGAACTTAAATAAAGATAGCTCCCCAGCCAAGAATAAAAAAAACAATGTAACACTATGCAACCTGTAATCAGCGATTTCATCAAAGCCAACTTAATCAAATACGAGACAAATACACAAACAGTTCCCTCCTATACGCAAAAGTGGAAGAGGTAAACTTACGAAGGCTCAAAGGGAGCTGATTCCACAATCTCACGACTCTAACTACAAATGATCTTTCACAACAACTGAGGGTTAGGAGAGGATCTACACATCACAAACCTACTACACAGCGGTAAATCAACATTTCTCATAATTCTATAATAACACAAAAGGATACGATATTCAACATACTTATCAAAGGATAGGCCAAGAAATTTAACAACAAATTGGGAAACATGACTACGACCCAAACCATATACATACCGAACAATGGAGTTAACAACCTTTTGAAGCCGATGCAAATGACCACAGTTAGAGCCCGAAATTACCTCCAAATAATAGTTTACCTGAGACATCAACAACGACCTAGCCACCTTCACCCTAACGCCAAGAGGCAAATATGCTTGGACACTATAAAGGCTCCTAAGCTGGAATCGCACACGGGACAACAGAAGATCGACGTGAGTCGAAAAACTAAGTTTGGCATCAATAATTACACCCAAGCTCTTCATTTCATCAACAATATTAATAGTAAAGGAACTAACGCAAATATTAGGCATAGAACCGTCATAGCAACAATTGAACAAAACAGCCTCAGTCTTATTCCAATTTATATCAAGACCATTGGAGGAGATCCACATAGAGAGAGATTGCAACGATTAGAGAGAGAGATTGCAACGATTAGATTAGCCAGATTTTCCAACTAGCAGTAACAGAATCTATGATGTCATTAATGAACATATTAAAAAGTAGTGGGCCTAGCACAGAACCCTGCGGGACTCCACACTGGATTAGACCAAAATCAGATTGGACACCCTTGTGCACAACAAACTGGGATCTGTACTCCAGATACGACGAAATTAGTCTACGGGCCGAAACGGAAAACCCAAATTTGACTCTAAGCTTGCGAATAAGCAGCGCGTGGTCAATAGAATCAAATGCCTTAGACAAATCAAGACCAACAGCAGAACCATCAAAAACATGGAGAATAACATCAGTAAGGGATAATAAGTGCACCGTTGTACTGCAGCCACGCCGAAACCCATACTGAGAACTACTCAGGCATTTATGATCATCAAGAAACTCCAAAATAGCATCTTTCTTTGACATCTCTACTATCTTTGACATGACCGGTAAAACACTTATTGGGCGCAAGTTAGACTGACTGTATGACGACCCTTTCTTCTGAACAGGCACCACACGAGCCACCTTCCAAGCTTGCGGGAAGTATGACGTCATAAAAATACAATTAACAAAATGCAAAAAGTAAACAGATATGTATGGAAAAACACTCTTATTTTAATAGGAATGCCATCAAAACCTACAGCTCCAGACTTAATTTTGCGGAGAGCACTTTCAACATCCTCCATAAACATGCAGTAAAACCTAAATTGCTCTTGAACAAAGGCACCATCAATTCCTACATTCACACCAGTATTAGATTTGCCCACATTACAAAAGTAATCATTAACAGTATTAACATCAATAAAAGGAACACCATCACCACAATCTAGGCAACCAAAAGACCTAAGGGACTTCCATAATTTACTACTGTTCATACGACTGAACAAGTTTTCATAATATTTTCTTCTTTCATTACGCATAACAGCTTTGCAACGATTTCTGCCTATTGTCATCAGTAGGCCTTCTGCGCCATTCAAAGTAAGCTAAATCCCGAAACGAACGAGCTGACTTCACCATATCAGAATTAAACCATCATTTCATCATTTTTGGGGTTTACATGACGAGTAGCAAGAGGAACAAAAAACAGCAAACTCTGAAATTACGTCTCAAACAAGGCAAGTTGGCTGTCTACGTTACTGGTAAGATACAGAGGAGAAAAATCAAAAGTAAACACAAAATCACAAATACCCTCCCAATCCGCATTACAAAAATCAAGAAACTCAATTACCTTCTCTTCAACAACTACAGGCAAATCAATCGTCCCAATGATAAGCGCATGGTGAGATATGCTAGGGCATTGTCCCTGCGAGGAAAAGCCCAGCCGAATGGGATCACTGATCAAACAATAGTCAATCAGCGAGGTAGAACTATGAGCAAGGTCAAAGTGCGTAGGCTTGTAATTGTGGACAATAGAAAGCCCAAGAGACCTACATATGCCCCGCATCAATGTAGATTTCGAAGATTTAAATAAGTTACAATTAAAACCACCGCAGACAAACACATTTGCATATGAGTCAAAAATACCTTCATGAATGCTATGCAAGGAATCCACATCTCCCTGCGGTAGGTATGCAACGGCAACAAGCAACCTAAATGCCACAGCTCGACGCACAAAGATTCGCATACACCATAATGGTCCGATTTATAAAACCACCTTATATCTGTCATATACATACAACATAACACCGCACCCTACACGGCGAATACGGGTTAAGCCAAGACTCAGTCACACCAAAAAAAAATCAATTCCCCTGCCAATAAGTAGACACGTTATCTCATCCATTTTGTTATTGAATCTAGACGGACGAATACTCTGACAGTTCAAATGGGCATACGTAAGCAATGAATGTTCTGCCTAAAGAATTGAGCATCGCTAATTACAGGCCCTAGATTCACATCAGGGCACATAAAAATTAAATAAAAGACTGGGGAGCACAATTATTAACGTTCGATTGAACATCGAATACACCAATATAATAAAAAATTAACAAATTAAACAATAAAGTATATAGCAATTCAAAAAAAATAAAAAATTAACAATAATAAATATAAACAATAACAGGTATATATCCAATACATTCCGCATCTGCGTATCTCGGGATCGATTGGCAAAATTAAAAAGTCCCTGCTGCTCGAACCTAGTTTTCGTTCCAGAAGAACTTCAACCAAGGGTTGGTCACCGTTAAGCAGCTTAAATTTTCTAATATGCTTCCTTTTAAGCAAATCTCTACAGGCATAGATACGTTTGGAGGTCGACTTAATTAAGTGATCATTTATATACACACGAGACTCCACAATGCAATTCTCAATTACTTCCTTCAGAAGAATACGACCCTTTTTAGAGTAGTTACGCATCAGTGAATCTCTATCCTGAACAGAGTTAAATTTTACCAACACCGCTCTACGGTCAGATATGTAACAACAGTGCTGCAAATCTCTAGGCACCACTTGCATCCCACAAACCTTAGCAATATTTACAGTTAGCGCTCTAAGGTCTTTTATATTGTCCGGCAGTCCTCTAATAATGACATTCGACCTATTCAGTCTGCGCTGGAGCATAGCATTGTATAATTCCAATTCATGGACTCTATCTATTAACTTCTTTCACACACTAATAGCAGTGTTTTTCATTTTACTGATAGTTAACTTCAGATCACAAACGGACTGCTTCAGTTCAGTGATATTGCTCTTCACCGCAGAAAATGCATCACTGTACAATTCAAAAAGAGCATCTGTTTGGGATTTAAACTCCTGCATACACTGTGCCATGTAAGCATCCATCTTTAGTTTCATGGTGGATAACATATAATTCTGCAAACTACGTAAGGCATCTGCTTTAACAATTGCAGCACTATTATCAACAGAAGCACTAGAAACAGGCATTACATCGGCAACCGAACTAACACTAGCGCCATGATCAACAACACCAGCCCCACCATCACCACCAGAAGCACGGATACATGTAATGCACGTATATCTAAGAGCCTTATTAACTCGAGCCTCAGTTTCAGATACACCCACACAATCCAAGTGGAAATAATTTGCCCAGCCGGTGTATCCAATTTTGTATTTAGATTTTGCAATATGTTCATTGCTGACATTGCAAATACACTGCGACGTCATGCTCAGCAAAATAAAAGCCAAAAAAAAAAAACTGCAGCAACACGGAAAACCCAGCCAGAAAACCTTTCAACGATCACCAAGAATATATTGCTACTTAAATATAGCCAGGAACAACCGAATAAAACTCAAATTTCAAAATTTAAATTATTTTTCTTACAAACTCGACTTCATACATTTTAATTTGGTTATGACGAACTTGTTGCAAATATCCGTAATACTGGACGATGACAATGTTTTTTTAGGCTAATGCTGGCAACCTTTACAAAAAATGTCAGCTGAATATCAGGTTCATCAAAGAAAATTAACTAACAAATGATGCAAAACCTACCAATTTCCAACTCTACTATGTCTATGTTTTGCATTACCTTGGATATAACGAACTTATTTGCTTGGTCCCTACGAGTTCGCTATAACCGTACTCGACCGCATTATAAAAATGGTATGAGACAAACCAGTTTTTTACGATTTTCTCAAATGTCTGACCTTTGTGCCAAAGTAGAAGTTGAAGCCAACACATTGAGGATTAAATTCTTTGTGTATAATTTTTCGGACATTAAAAAATTTGCAAATATTGTCAATATATAAGGTAATAATTAAGCTAATGTTAAAATGGTTAAGCTAATGTTATAAAATCGTACATGAGGATCGCGCTAATTGTGACGTGGAGTTTGTTCTGAATAATTAAACTTGTGTGTATTTTATATATTTATTATAAATGTGACATAATATAAATTACAATTGGTATTTTAGGGAATTAAGCTTAATTGGCCAATGTGCAAAGACCATTAATTCCGAAGTTCAAAATACTGAAATAAGGGCAAGTTGTAGTCCAAAACCATCCTCTGAATCTACTGAACCACGGCCCCCTGGGGACGAAACGACAACTTTACAAAACATCCAGGATATATCAGCAGATGTAATCTCATCAAAGACCTGCATTTCTGTTGCTGAATCTCTATCAAAAGAAAGAAACGAAGAGGTAAGTTATAGCCGGAATCTTATATTAATCTTCTACGTTTACTAACGTCATTTCAGTGCAAATAATTGTTTTAATATAATGTAAAAGTTACCATTAGTTGTTCTTTTTTCTGTAGGATATGTGGCCAAATCATAATAAAAAAATTCCCAATATTTACGAATATTAATAATTAGGCTCGTACAAATACCCAAATAAATTTACAAGTGTGTGAATTGAAAACGGCGAAAATGGATGAAAATATTTTTTTAAGAACACAATATTTTTACTTTTATAGAAACACAAATGTTTCAATGATTGCAATTCTATATTCAAAAAACCAAAAAAAAATTCAAAATAAGCCCTACCAACGCATACATTTATGTACGCATAAATTTATGTAAAGAAAATAATAATGTCTAAAATATATCAAATTATTAATTTACATGTTTTCCTTATGGCATAATTATCCAAGGTTGTCTCAGCAGACATACGACTCCATTTTTTTATAATTTTACTTTTGACAATATTCAGTTTTCAAAATTTGAATGAAAATACCTTTCTTTGAAACCTACACAACATGTGTTCAGTTCCAAAATTTAGCAATTTATGCCGGGCATAAACAAAATTGGCATCAATTAATTGATTTTCGACAGCATTATGGCAATGAAATTATTAAATTCAGTTTTATTTTGCACATTAAGGACACATATAAACTGGGATAATGTAAAAATTAATTTGAATTAATGCGATTAATGCAAATTAACGATGTTTGTCTAGACTATTAGAACCAAGAATAATAGTAGCATTTCACCCCCAATATGCAAACGTTTTTCAGGTTTTCGTATAGATTGAAACTTTATTCTACATCAATATGTTTATGATTCCAGGTACCGTCTGTTTTAATGCCAGTCAAGCTTATTTAATTTCATTATTAAAAAATTTGGAAAACATGTTACATGCTTACTAACGAATATCACATATATCCCAATGTGTGTTGTGTATGAAATACTATTGCCTTTATTGTTGCAGCCTGATATTGACTGTATTCATATATATATTTTTTTTTGATAAGAAACTATATAGGAGCTTTCAATTTATTGTTGATAAGCCTTCCTATTTCGACGTTTTTGGTGGCTATATTGATAACAACTGATTACATATGTGTCATTCGTAGGAAATTTTTGTGTTTGACAGTTTTAAGAATTTTTGGTTTAGCATAGATTTAAAATACTCTAGAACTGTTGTTTTGTTTACTACTATATTAAATGTAAAAACAGAACTTTGAGATTCTAAATTTCCTTGTATTTTTTTAGGATTCTCAAAGTAAATCAAGTGAAAGTATTACCGAGTTTATACGGGCATATAATTTGACAGATCCGTCGTCGGATAAAGCAAAAAACGTTTCACGTTTATCTGAAAGAGCAAAGAAAAAGTCGTGGTATAACGTGTTATACCCCAACTATAAAACACGTTCACAGGAATTTAAGAGGTTATTTAAGGATGTGCCTGCTGATGAGCGCTTAATAGTTGGTAAGTCGTATTGTATTATTAGCATTGCCAGTTGCAAAAAATGAATTCGATATCAAAATACTTATTTGTATGAATGATGTTTAACAATTCATCAAAATACTAAAAATCGATCGATCGGGAACAATATAAATATTTTTTCAATTCAATTCAATTTATTTCATAAAAGTGAACCTAGCCCAAAGGGCCATGAGCGATTCCAAAAACTTCTTTACATGGACTACTCCAAAAGCTTAAAAATAACAGTATATCACTTAATCATATCATAAACAACAATACATGAACTACTACATAAAAACATAAATCAATAAAATCAACGTAGCAATGACGCTGATCACGAATATATAGTTATAGATACAATTAACAGTTAACGCCGAAGTGTATCACCAGTGCTACCATATATAATCCCAATAGCGTTAAAAGAATAATAATGCTCTGGCGGGCATTTTAATACCTGTTGTTCGCTCGCGGAATTACATACATGAATTAACCCGTATATACAACACTATTATTGATTAATGCCATCATTTTACTCTTTTCTTACTTTTTATACTCTTCACCACACTGTTATACAGGGTATTATGTCTATGTGCATATTTTTTAACATGCTAAAAGAAACGAGATAGACCCATGGTTCCTTTTGAGAATATGCATAGAATCTCTTTCTGGTTCGATATAAGCATGTCCGCCCGTCCGTGTGGCTGTTAATGTTAAATTTCATACAAAGTACAGGTCGCATTTCTGATCCGATTAGGATTAAATTTGGTACATCTCATTTGTTTGGGCCAAGGACGAACCCCAGTGAAATTGGTGTAAATCGGTTCCGATTTAGATATAGCTCCGATATGTATTTTCGTCTGATATGATTTGAATGGTGCACGAAACATAGATATTTTGACCGATTGCATAGCGTACTTAATTGAGTATAGAATGATGTGTATTAAATCCGATATATTCCTCTGATATTATGTAAATGGTGAACTAAACTCACATGATTTGTCCGATTTAGACGAAATTTGGAATACAGTTCTGCATTGAGTCTAAAATTATATTATGTTTTGTTGAAATCGGTTCAGATTTACATGTATATCCCATATATATTTTTGTCCGATTTTATGTAAAAACCTATATTTCTTCGATTTACACGAACTTTTTCGTAGCTTTCTGAATTATTCGCGATTAAGTTAAAATGTTTTTATAAAATATGAAACAACAAGTTGGGAAAAATACATTTTATTGACAGAAACTGTGAATACTGTTAATTCATGTATGTAATTCTGAGAAAGAACAACGTGTTCAAATGCAAAAAAATTGGTCAAAACATGGCGTTGCCTTATATAATTCTACCATGGGATTTATCCTAATTTGTTTCCATACTCTCAGTTGTCATGGATGGGATGGGACTAATACATATCTATGTACATTGTTCAACTCGAGATATTCGCTCAGAAAATGTTGTAAGGTCAATTAAGTAAGTAATATTTCATAATTAAGGGTCGAACAACGTCCGTTTGTGCATGGCATTGTACGTATAACTCAAATATGTAAGGACCTTATCTTCATAATTTTACTTTATATATTTTATATATAAAAGAGCTTAGTGTTAAGTGAGTGGCTGACTGACTGACTGACAGATCATCGCCCAGACGAAACGGCTGAAGCTAGAAGCTTGAAATTTTGAGTGTGGGTTGTTGTTGGTGTGTAGGCATGAGATAAGGCTGGGTTTTTGGAAATTCGAACTAGAAGTGTACGAAATGTACTAAAATATACCAAATATGGTACCCTTTGTATTAGGCGAACGGGAAGAGCTAGAGCTCTGAAATTTGGAATGTAGGTCACTGATGAAAAGTTAGAATGATGTACAAAAGGGTTTTTGGAAATTCGATTTAGAAGTGTACTAAAAGTACTAAACATTACTAAATTTAGTTCTAATTGTATATGTATTGAACATATATAGCTAGAATCTCGAAATTTTATATGGAATAAAGGTTGGGAAGTGGTGTTGATGTATGGAAATGGTTTATGAAATTAGTACATATTTATATAAAATCTACAAAGTGATACTAAATTTAGTACTATTTGCGTTTAAATGAGTGTATAGAGATGAAAGCCTAAAAATCGCAATTAGGAATACTATTGTAGTACAGTATTGAGGTAGCTTTAAAAAATCGTACTTATGTGTACGAAAAGTACTAAATGGTACCAAATCTGGTATAATTTTTTTTTGATTTTAATGAACAGACAGGGTGGAACGCTCAAATTTGGACTTACGATTACTATTTGAAAGCAGGATTGAGGTACATTTGGAATTTTACGCTTATGAGTACGAAAAGTACTAAATTTGGTACGGTTTGGACTTTGGTCGAATTAAGATCACTGTTAGAGTGTAAGATTGATGTAGTTTTAGAAATTCTTACTTAGTAGTATGAAAAGTACTAAATGGAACTATATTTGGATTTGGTTGAACCCAGAGATTTGGAATTTGGATTATTGTTATAGTGTAGTATTGAGTTATGGCGACAATTTTAGACAATCAAATTTATGTGTACGAATAGTAAATAGAATAGAAAATGCACTATATTTTGATTTGGGTAACGGAGAGAGTTGGATACCTAAAATTTAGAATGTCGGTCACAGACGGAGAGTTAGAAAGAAGTACCAAGGGATTATTGGAAGTAATTGGTACTAAATTTAGTGGTGGTGATGGTATGGAGGTAATCTAAAAAATGTGTACTTATGTGGTCGAAAAGTGCTATATGAAACTAAATTTGGAACCTGTACGTATTTGCTAAAATCTGATCTATTTTTAATCTGTGTAATATAATAAAAAATGGATTTCGTCGGAAATGGGACTACCCGAATGTTGGGGGACAATGCTTACTTTCCCCACTCATAAATAGTTTTATAAAAATGCGTCTGACTATTCGAAAAGATTATTTTTTTTTATGAAATGCGAATCGTATGTATACATTTGGAATTATGTACGAGCCTTGTACATTTTTTACAGAAAATACGCCATTTTTGCATTCTGTTTGTAAAAGTAGAATCTCTTATTCTTTCAAAATTAACATTAAATAATATTACTTATTTTCGTACTTTCAGATTATTCCTGTGCACTTTATAGAGACTTACTTATTCAAGGTCGTTTGTATATATCACAAAATTATGTCTGTTTTCATGCCAATATCTTGGGCTGGGAAACGTGTTTGGTAATAAAGTGGAAAGACGTTACTTCAATAACAAAAGAGAAAACAGCTCTAGTCATACCAAATGCTATTTCAATTGCTACTGTAACCGAAAATTATTTTTTTTCCTCATTTACGACGCGTGACAAGACGTTTCTTATACTCTTCAGAGTATGGCAGAACACGTTAATGAATAAACCTATGTTAGCTCAAGAAGTGTGGCAACTAGTACATAGTTATTACGGTGATGAATTAGGATTAACCACAGATGACGAAGATTACGTAGATCCCCGAATAGCAGATGAAAACGACGGCTGTGCCATTTTGGATTTCGTTTCTGCTATAGATGATACACACTCGTTTAGCTTAGGAAGCCAGGAGTCTTCAAATATATACATATTTCGGTCTTTTAGCAATAATAGCGGTTCCAGTAACTACAGTAGCAACAGTACCAGTAGCAGTGGTGGTGGTACTGCAGCAATATATCGTACCAATAGAGAAACCAAAATGAAATCGAATGCCAAAGAACTCACCTTGATCTCAGCAAAACCCGAGGAGGGTACTGCAACCAACGCACCCGCACAGAATAACGCGGGTGGTCTGGGACATGATGGCAATACGGATCGCAATAGTAGCAGCACTCCCGGCAAGGAAGTAAAACACAATAATGCCGCCAGTGAAAACAAACGAAAAGTATCGAAAAATAGTAGAGCACGCGAGGAAACTACAAGTAAAAATGCCGAAACTTTACCAACTGATATTTCCGATTCAAGCGATTCGGAGGGAACAAATATACCGTAAGTATAATCGGTCAAGAATACAAAATAATAAATAAGCTGGATGACTATGAAGGATTTAAGATACCTTTAAAAATTTCTATCCTCGATAATTGTTTGCTTGTCATAAGTAATCGGTTAATGTAGGGAAATCAAGAGCTCTTATATATTATTATTATACTTGACGAACCAGTGAACTCTGTTATTAATGCTGTTAAGTTTTTAGTTATTGTTATTGATGGATTTTCTTATGTTGTTGCTATTTGGCTGGAAAAATATTGATAGTTTTTGGTAGGGAGATTTGTTATTCAATCATTATCCAAAATATAGAATTGGACAAATTGTTAGCCTTATGAACAAGGTTTATTCATAAGGTTAACAGGGAGGCGAATTCGACGTCTTCATTGACTGTCAAATTTATTGTTTGAAGAATAAATAAACAAAAAATATTTTTATTTGAAACGAAATATGTGTGCACATTACTATCATTGCGTTTTTTTGTTCTGGTTGGTATTTCGCTATTAAAAAGTTGACAGCAAGAGAAGCCTAAGGCATGAATTCGACTGCCGGTTAACCTTATGAATAAACTTTGGTTCTGTCCATGGCCCAAATCAGCTGGTCATGAGCAGCTGATTAAGTTTTTTGTTCCGCGGAAAAAATTAATAATAATGAACTGAGTTTTGTAGTTTATTTATACGAAATTCGGATTCGGTTTTATTCGATTCGGATTTAGTTGTATGTAAAGAGAAATTGGCTAAGGTGCATAACGACGTAAGTGATTTGAAAAGGCAACTTGTTGACATTGAAAGGAAGAATTGTGTCCGTCAACGACGTCTTAACCGATTTTAATTAATGGATTGCCGAGGTCGATTCGAAATCTCCAAGAGCCGATTATAAATATTGCTAAAATGTGTAATGTTGAGCTTAAGGCCAGTGAGATCCAACATTGTTGTTATGTGTTTGGAGGAAATTCAGTATTGGTCAAGTTCACTACAGTCCACATCAGAGATACTGTTATGGCTAATTACCATCGTCTAGGGTATATTGCTTTAAGTAATGTAATCAATACTCATGTGACCTCCCGTGTTTATCTTAATGACCATCTTACGCCTCCTGCTGTTTTGTTCTCTGTCTGCTTCGAAAGTGCGCGATTCTTGTAAAAGGCTTGGTGTATCTGTAATTCACAATGTTCGGCCAACGCATTATTCTGTTGCTCATAATTCCACATCATTACTGGACTTTTTTGCACTGAGTAATGTAGATTCACTTGTTTTATCTAACCAGTTCATTTGTCCTGGAATATCCGACCATGCTTTTATATTTCTGTCTCTTAACATCTCTGTTGCATGTGTGGATCAATACATTGAGTACATTGATTATAATTCAGTGCGTCATGATGTTTTACATGGTACCATATCATCATTTGATTTGATTATTTTAACATTATTCGTACTACGTATTTTACGAATAATGTTAATGTTCAATGGGATTGCTTTGATTCATGTCTAAATTTGCTTCTCTCTTTGTTCCCTACTAAGAAAAGAAGGTTAATAAATAATGTTAATGCTAACAATGATTGGTATGAGTCCTCTGAAATTTGTTACTACAACTCCATTAGAGATTTAGCATTTAAAGAGTATATGCGCACAAGGAGTTTAGTGGATTGGAGAAATTTTTGCAAGGCCCGTAATAGGGCTAAATCTGTCGTCAGAAAGGCTAAGAGTATTGCTCATTCATCACTGTTTGAGGGCCAAAGAAGTAATAAGGAATTGTGGAACATACTTAAGTCAAATGGTTTTTCTTCTGATAAAGCATATGGTTATACGGGAAATGTAGATGAATTGAACGCTGATTTCCCTAAGAACCAACTTGATAATCCCAATATTTTGTTTGATGTTAGTGATTTTGCCCTTCGTGATAATGTTTTTTTCTTTTCGATGCATTGATTGCTCTGAGTTGGAGGCAGCATTCGCGTCTATTACATCTAATGCGTCAGGTTTGGATGGGTTTTCCTTAAAGTGTTTGAAGATTGTGCTCCCTCTTGTTGGTTCACACTTTCTTCATTTGGTTAATACAGTATTAACCTCTTCAATTTTTCCTGTTAGCTGGAAGTTAGCGAAGATTGTTCCAGTAAAAAAGAAAAATGTTGTTGGTGCGGCGCAAGAGTATCGTCCGATTTCGGTGTTACCTATATGTTCCAAGATAGTTGAACATATTTTAAAGTCCCAGATTATGTCGTATTTGCAGCGCAACAATATGCTTAATGATGCTCAATGTGGCTTTAGAAAGGATAGAAGTACTGCATCTCTTTTGTTGGGATTGACTGATTCGATTCGGGCTAATTTTGGTAACACCAAGTGTTGTATTTTATTATCGCTTGACTTGGAAAAGGCTTTCGATAGAGTTGATCACCACAAGTTATTGCTAAAGTTGCACTCCCTGTATGGTTTTTCACTTAGTGCGTGTTTACTTATGTCATCTTATTTATTGGGCAGAAAGCAATTGGTATGTTCTGAGAATAGATATAGCTCTGTCTTACCCGTTAGAAGTGGTGTTCCGCAAGGGTCGGTTTTAGGGCCACTTCTGTTCATCCTATTTCTTAATGATATGTTTCCAGAGTTACAGTTCTGGTGTGTACCATATGCATTCGCTGATTATGTCCAGTTGCTTTTTAAAGGAGATTCTCGATTTGGGTCAGTGTTTCAATCAAAGATTGATAGCGCTATGGGGGTTTTGCACACTTGGATGTCAAATAATTCGCTCAGCATTAACCCGTCCAAGACGAAATCTATGTTTTTTGCAACGTTGTGCTTGATAACAAGCTTTGTTTTGATAACCATATAAATATGGTTGTTTCCAAAATGCATGTTTCTCTTCGTGCTCTTTACGCGACTGATCTATCCTTGTCGTTTTTCTTAAGGAAGCGTTTGGCCCATGTATTAGTCTTACCTGTGTTCTTGTATTGTATTGAAGTATACTCGGCTTCCACTTTGAGTAATTTTCATTTAGTCCAAATTGCAGTTAAACGAATTATACGTTTTGTGTATAGGTTAAATCCTCATGTTCATATTAGTGCCTATGTTATTGATTTTTTTGGTTGCTCCTTTAAGTCGTATGTGGATTCTCGCTTGCTTCTTTGTTTGTTCAAGATAGTTAAACAACAATGTCCCTTGTTTTTAGTCGATAAATTGGTTTTCTGTTCTTCTACTAGGCGCAATCAACTTCAAATTCCGTTTGTTCACCATCTATTGGCTCACTCATTTATTGTTCGTGTGGCACGGTTATATAACACTTTACCCAGTGAACTTAAAAATTTCAGTGTTGCCCCCGCAACGTTCTATAAAAAAATTGTTCGCCACCTGTATTGAGCTTTGACATACAACATTTCCTATTGCACTTATTGGTGGATGTTAGGATATATACTTTTCTTTTAATAATGTATTTTTTTTGATTGATCTCATATTTTACGTTTGTTAATTTATTTTTTTAACTTAAATTTGCATATTAGAATAAGTTTTTTTATTTTTTTTGGACATGTTATGAAATATCCCTTTGTTTGAGTAGTTAAATCATACTGTTATGCATTATGTATTACATTTATTGGCCTAAAGGCTTCGTTATACATGTTAAGATTGAAATAAATAAATAAGTATCAGGTCATCCAGAAGGCGAATTTAAGGAAATGCACAACCCTGTAACTACATTTTCTTTCAAAAGTTGATGTTTTGGCAAAAAAAATCTTTGAAACAATTTCGAATTACTTTGCACTTTTCGAAGGCTCAATTTAAACACAGCACTGATTTTATTTTAATAATATTGTCAATATATTTTGACAAAAAATGTAAATATCAGCTGTCCTTACTGGGTGACCTAATATATAGACCTTGATTGAAATATATACAAATTTAATTGAAATGAAAATTATTTTTTTAACGCGTCCGTCTGGAAGTAATTACTTTGTTATGGATGAAACAAATATTTCTTGGCATTCCCTACTGGATTTTGGGAAGATATCATAACCTTTCATTCATTTTTCGCGTTTTTAGTTAGTTAGTCAAATAAACAGAGCCACTTGTTGCGTATATTAATTTTATATTTGGCAGAAGAAGCCACCACTTACATAGTTGTTTTTTTGTTATTCACCTCAAACTGCCCTACCTGGTATTATTGTACCATGCATCGACGTATTTCGGTAAAATTTATATAAATCCATATATTTTACTTTTGTGGTGAATAACGTCGAACGAGCTAGTCGAAATTTATGTAGGACTGGTACGTTGAAATCAAATCAGCTGGGGTTTGACAGTGTTTTGAATATAATTAAAATTGTTTGAAATAAATTCAAATCAATTTCATTACATAAGAGAAATAAGAAATTTATCGTTTATTACTCAAATATACTGTCAAAATCGTTTATAACAACTTAACCAAAAGTCCCGAGAAACGTCCGGCCTTATTTTGATGTCGTTTATAATGACATATAGCTTATTACGAACAATTTTGGCGGCCCTTTGGCCGTCGTTATAAATTATTTCGACTGTATGTTCGATTTTATAATGAAATTATGACGTGTAATACATTTTTCGTGTCTAGTCATATCGTCAGCTAAAATGCAAAAAGGCGTAACTAACAAAAAAAAAAAATTGAAAATTGGCTTTTTGAATGAATATTGTGAATGCCAATAAACTACATGTGTTGACAAAGTTTTACACGTCTGCGGTCAAAAGAGGAGCTTCTATTAACAAAAAACAAAAAGACGTAACTACAAGTGGGTTTATTTGATAAATGCAAAATGGCGTAACTAACAAAAAATTCACGTTTTTACTTAATTGTTATGACTGCCATTAAACTATATAACTAAATTTGTTACAAAAAATTATAGTCTATTATTCGTCATATGCAATATCACCCTGTCGGGCATACTTTTTCATTTCACATGGCATGTTTTTAGTTTTCATTCAAAACAGTTTGCATCTTCTACACAATTATGATTTTGTTAGTTACGCCTTTTTGCATTTTAGCTAACGATATATTGAAAAAAGTCAAAATAAACACAAAGACTAGTTGGGTACATTTATTTTATGTCTATTGGAGCTAGCATAGTAACACAGTAGTTACTCATCTCAGCAAACACTGCATTGTATTATTGAAATATGACTGCCAAGGTATATTAACCAGGTAACCGTATCGAGCCAGGTTATGGTAACATTATATGTCACAACAATTTGTTGATGTTTGAATTCGCCGTAAAAAAACTATTTCGGAAGACAATTCTTAAATAAATACAAATCATAAAGTCTTCGATAGGAAGACGTGTTGCCTTCTAGAATGGATGTCCTGCTGTATTTAATATGCTACAGAACCACGTTTATGTTGTGTAGTAAAGAGGAATTTTTGGTCCCTAAGACAAAATTATGAATAACATTCGGTACTACATAAAAAGAATTTGTGGTCTTTGATTGAACTATTGGCGTTCTGATTTTATGAAGAGATATGTTTGTCTTCTATAGATATTTTGGTTTATTATAATTATACATTATAATCTTTTATACAAATGCATTTTGGTACATTTCAAATAAAATTATATCCTTCATGGTCAGGTGGTCCTATATTGAACCGAGAGTTTAATTCGTTTATTTGGCGGTGAGGGTATATTCCGATCCGAGACGATAGCTTCCACACATTATTTTGATAAAGATGATACAACCATATAAGGTCTATGATACAACCATGAAGGTCTATTATTGAACATCAATCAGGCAGAATTCAATATTTCTTGAATTTGGTATTTTAAAAAATCTGTCAGTTGCTCCAGCTTCCATGTAGTAATACGTTCGATTTCGGTTGTAATTTAACAATTTTGAATACAATGCAATATTTTGTTAAGTCTTGACCACTCAGATGCTTTAAAAAACTTCCCGAACTATGTTGATTATGGGTCCAGTTCTTTGCGTACCAAAAAATTATCCATTGCAAGCCATTTTTAAAAGATTTTATTCCTTGCTTCATATTTAATTCATAAATATTTTATTTGAGAAAAATTATGGAATTTTAAAAATGTAAACAAATATTTTTAATTCTGTGTTCTGATTGGTGGAAATAATTCGCCTCAAATGTTATATGTCACTGCGAATTAATGTATAATCGCTTTGTTTACAAATTTTGACATATCATGTTACCAATTCGTCGATGCGGCTACCTTATATATCTACCTGATGACTGCAAAACAACCATTGATTTCCATTTAATTAATATTTCAGATTCGTTGCTACAACTGAGTGTACATCACCTCATGAGGGACGGCAATTGGTGCACACAATTCTGCCCATCAATATAGAAACATTGTTCAATTTACTATTTTCTAAATCGAAATTTTTATTGGATTTCCATGCAATGCGAAAATCCACAGATCTTGTTTTCGGCGATTGGGTGAGAAATGATGAAGGACAAAGGACACGAACAGTTAATGTGACTGTGACCCTGGCAGCATCTGTTGGGCCCAAAACCTCAAAGGTAACAAGACATCACTTTATTTCGCAATGATACATATACATATGTACGGTCTATTGTTCAGGTTACAGAATATCAAGTAATGCGTGATTGCAGCAAACAAGGCGAGCTATATTCCATAGATGTAAATAATGTTAATGCCGGCATTCCATATGCAGATAGCTTTAGTGTTTTAATCCATTATTGTTTAGTAAAGTGAGTAGACGAAATATCTTTATGGTGGCTGACATTAGTATATTGCTATATTTCGTATATTTAGAACTGTTGACGACCATACAATGTTGTCTGTCCACGCCCAAATCAAGTACAAAAAATCAATTTGGGGTGTTGTTAAGGGTTTTATAGAAAAAAATACCTGGGCTGGCCTGGAGGATTTCTATGGATCTTTACTTCAGGCACTACAAAGTGAAACATGTATCCCACCAGCCAAAGGAAAGGGTAGGCGACCGCGGCGAGGTAAGCAAACATACATAATAAATCTTTTTGAGATGTTTACGAATTATTTATGTATGATCTTAAGGAACTGCTGTTTCAATTCGACCCCTGGAGGACACACCACAAATGCAGACTAAACCAGAACCATTAGACCACTTAATTGGCACGCAAACTGTTAGCTCACGCAGCACTGCAGAATGCCCAGCTGTGGTTGCTGATACCACGAATAAATACAGGTGGCTGTCACTGTTTGTTCTTGTTCTATTATGTTTCCTCATAATTGTTAATGTCATATTATTGCTTAAATTGTGGAGATTAGAGGATCGCTTAGAGGAAGATATGTTAAATAGAGCACGTCTGCCTAATTTGGCCGCATTAAAGTATGATCTGATTTATGTATACTGCTACATTTTCTATACACGTATATTTCATAAACTCTTATGTCTTTGTTTGTAGGAAATTGCCCAACAACCATGAGGATTGGATTGACCTCTTGCGACAACAGGAAATGTTGCACGAGACGGAACTACGAAAGTGGCATACGGTTTTACAAACCGCAATCGAGTTACTAAAGAAGGTGAGCATTGTTTGCCAAAATATATTGCCTAATGATAATATAATTGAACAAATTGATCGAATTAGTGATGAGTTTTAATTTACATAATTGTATAACACTATAACATTTTCTACAAATTATCCAATGGACTTTTCCTTCAGTTCTGGTAGATGTAATGAAATGTGTTTTTATTTTAAATACCAACAAATAATTGAATGTGAGTTTGGAGTTTAAGGTTAGATTTTTTATTTCGCTTTTTACTGTAACATTTAAATCCGTAACGGTCTATAAATATGTGCTAATGGAATGAGCGGTACTGCACAAAGTAATATAACTTTTGCGAATGTTTGTTCGCCGATGACTTGTATGTTTTGTTTCATATACCAACATTTTTATATTCCGTCCGATTTTTACATCCATTTCAAAAAAGATGACCATTTTTTTAATTTGTAAGCTATTTATATAATAATAATAAAAGCTATCTCCGGTTGTGCATTCAATTTTGTTACTTTTATTTAAAAAATACTTACAAACTTATAGCTGACATATTCTACATTGAGATTTATTTCGGAATTTGCTGCATAACTACATCAATATATTTATAACAAAAAAACTAGATAATATCCAGTCTAAATTAAAAATATACGAGGCTTAATATATTTGCATTTATTTACCACAATTGTATTTTAATGAATTTAAAGGATGGTTTAGTTCAATATTAAGTTGCTAAATATATATACTAGTTTTTAGCAGATAAGTAAATGTATATACGAGGGAAAAGTCCATACTTACTACAATATTTATAGTAATAACGAGAAGAATTTATTTTCGGAAACCCCAATTGAAAAGATATTATTTTAACAAAAATTGTTTGTGTGTTGGCAGCGTGCTTGTGTACTCCCGATATCTCTTTAGTTGAATTTTTTTCTTTTTATTTTTTGCTTTACGTGTAATTTGTTCTATTTTATTTGATATTTATAATTTCCTTACGTATTATATGCATTTTTATCATTTCAGACTGAAAAAACCTTGGCTGAACTTATGTTTCGCTAACATTTCCATGTATTGTATTTTTTAGTTTTTAAGCATATATACATACAGATGTATATGTACATACACAACTAAAACTTTAGAAAATTATAACTGGGACAGACCAGACGTAACATGTGATTATTTCCTCGGTTTGTAGCCACAAATTATGTTTATTTTGCTACCGTAGGACGTTTATAGTGAAATTGTTTTGTTTTTATTTGTTCAGTTTCTGTTGATTTTTTAAACCAATTTATAGTTTATTAATGTAATATAGAAAACATTATTAGCTTCACGTAGAAGTATAACTTATTACCAGTTTATTTGTATTTTTCATTAGTTTTAGAAAGTATACAAGTAACTGATGTGTGCATTATTAAGATTTGTTCCGAAATATTGATTTGTATATAGCCAGAGAGGCTAATTTAGATTATGAAACTTGACTATAATTGGAATTATGAATAAATTCAAAAATACAGACAAGAAGTTCTATAAATCAAGCCTAAGTTTTCCTCTGCTGTCAACTTTTTAATCGCGAAATACCAACCAGAACAGGATAAAAATTCTAAATATCTTTCAAATAAACGTAAAAATGTGCACGAATATTTTGGTTCGGATAAAACTAATTTTCGTTTTTTTATTCTTCAAACAATAAAATTAACAGTCAATGAAGACTTCGAATTCGTCTCCCGGTACACCTTATTTAATAGGCGATGTTATGAATATTTAAGTTTATTTCTTTGTTGCAAGTTGTATTTTCAATTGGATTATGGACATATTTTTGTACATTTACGGACTGAAAGTCCCATTAAACCCTATACATTTATGCAGCCATGTACACATTATATAACCTATACAAAATGAAATGGTGCGAAACATTCCCAAAACGCACTTAATAAATTCGCAAGCCACCACACAATTTTTTTTTAGTATTTAATGTATTTTTCTTTTGAAAATTAAGCAGTATATGAAAGCAAATACATACAGCAAACTTATAGAGAAATTACCGCGAAACTACTTATACATTTTCTGAATGTCTCTTGAAAAAAAGTATTTACCGTACAATTTGTAATTATATTGTGTATTAGTTTTAATAAAGAGCATTTGTTTATACAAAATGTGTAAAATTGAAATTATATTCTAACAATTTGAAAAACACATAAAATATAGTTTTACTGGTTGACTTCAATATTAAGGTTTGTATGAAGTAAATATATTTAACAATGATGCCCAGCCTTGTAACCTTCAGGGGCTGTATATATTACAATTTCATATTTAATATACAGTCATGTATGGATGTAGTAATTTCATATACAGTCATGTATGGATGTAGTAAAGTAATTTTGCGAGGCCTGTTCACATTATACACTTTGTTATTAAGATCATTGAAAGAATTCGCGAGTAGATGTTTGCTTCTTACGCTCAGAAATTGACTTTAGAATCACTTATGTGCTGATTTTAACTCTTTAGTAGTACGCCAACTGTCGTAGACGTTGTCGTTTTTGACGGTATTATATAAAATTTAGGACTACGTAAAATTTTGTAATATATTTTTCCCTTTGTCGGTTACAAAATCGAAGCAAAAATTTTATTTTTTTTTATATTGAACAAGAAAAGCTACGTATAAAGATGTAGAAAAGCGTTGGAAAATTAACTGAGTGTTCTTGGTAGACCTAGAGAAAAGATGTCGATCACGTGAAGTTCTAAAGTGGCAGATTTATATAGAAATGAAACAAATCTTTGTTTTACAAAAATACAAAATGGTACTTCTAGAAAATCAGCTGCATAAGCTGAAATATGGTCTGATCGACGTAAATTATAAACGTACCTTACACATATTTTTCTATTTTGTAAAAATGTTCATGTGTGGTACCAGACACAACCAGTGTTGCCGTTTGAAAATTTTATTTCCGCCCAAAATTCCCCCTAAAAAGTGCCAAAATCAATAATTTATGCCCAAAAATTTAAGCGTTAAAGAAAAGATACAAATATTAAAAGAGCGGGTCCTTTTTGTTCTATATTTTTTTAAAGGCTGAAAAGTACACTGTTTTGCAGCATGGAAGTATGGAAAAATTGATTTTTAGTTTTTTTGATGTATTTGATTTAAAAATTTGTACTTTGTTGCGGCAAAATTCCCTAATCGAAATATTTGTTTAGACTCCATGTGTCTTTGGACCAAATCCGATTCGACAATTTGGAGTCCATTTACAAATGACCCTCTCTCTGTCTGTCTGGATGACTGGTGCGCACGATATCTTTCAAAATAAGTAACATATTTCATCCAAACTTAGCACATATTAATGTTTAAATCAAGATCGGAGATGGAGAACATGGAACCACTCCTTCCAGTACCACCCCACAAAACGTCGAAATTTTTATTTTTTTTTCCATCCAATATCTGTTGAACGGAATGTCTGATTTAATCTTTCCACCTACTTTTACCAAAACTATATCAAGTTCGAAGGTTGTAAATTTTGATTTCATGCATTGATTGCACATCGTAATATCTTACCAAATCTGAATTAAACCCGAATATGTGGCCTCTAGGGCATAACTCTTTGAAAAAAGCATATACCTTATATAAAGAGAATGGTAAATACTGTGTGGTCTAAAAATGAAAGGCCTTAATACTTATTCTTAATATAAATTTTGGGCAATTATCGGTCACAATATAATAATCAATTTTCCACCTTGGCACTAGAGTAGTTTCATAGACCCCAGTAAACCGGGACTGACCATACAACACCCTTCACAAATACGACTGAACATGAGAAAAAATTCAATCTTGATGGCCCAGATGATTTAAATTGTTATTGGAGAGATCTACGGAAGGAATCACGATATTCCTTACAACAACATTTCAGTGGGGGTTCTTTAATGGTCATGGGAGCATTTTGATTTGACATTTCCTTGTTGTCGAATGAATTCAATGGAGTACGTTTTTACGTTGGGAAAGCAGTAACAATGAAACACTCGTTTTTCAACAGGGCAATTCGTCAGTTCATAAAAGTCGCCATACTTAAGAATGGTTAAAATCAAAAAATATTCCAACTTCCTACCAGAATCCGATTGAGAACATATGGGGAATCTTGACTCTTCTTGTCGATGCAGAAAACCGCCAATACCAAACTGTGTTTAACCCAAAGGATTGATTATTGATGAATGGCGGTAAATTGATGAATATTTGCGAACAAAATTTGATAGACAGTATGATGGACAGACTTTTTGAACTTATTCAAAATAAGGGAGAGTTTGATGATTTTATTGTTTACAATAACTGAATGGGTCCATTGTATTTATCAACTAACATACCAATTGAATAAAAGGTTCATATATAGTTATGATACGCAGTGTAGTAGTCGTCTTTGAGTAGAACCGAATTCACATACAAATGGCTATTAATCCATAAATACAAATTATAATGGACAGACGGGGGAAAAACATATGTAAGTTGTATTTTCAATTGGATTATGGACATATTTTTGTACATTTACGGACTGAAAGTCCCATTAAACCCTATACATTTATGCAGCCATGTACACATTATATAACCTATACAAAATGAAATGGTGCGAAACATTCCCAAAACGCACTTAATAAATTCGCAAGCCACCACACAATTTTTTTTTAGTATTTAATGTATTTTTCTTTTGAAAATTAAGCAGTATATGAAAGCAAATACATACAGCAAACTTATAGAGAAATTACCGCGAAACTACTTATACATTTTCTGAATGTCTCTTGAAAAAAAGTATTTACCGTACAATTTGTAATTATATTGTGTATTAGTTTTAATAAAGAGCATTTGTTTATACAAAATGTGTAAAATTGAAATTATATTCTAACAATTTGAAAAACACATAAAATATAGTTTTACTGGTTGACTTCAATATTAAGGTTTGTATGAAGTAAATATATTTAACAATGATGCCCAGCCTTGTAACCTTCAGGGGCTGTATATATTACAATTTCATATTTAATATACAGTCATGTATGGATGTAGTAATTTCATATACAGTCATGTATGGATGTAGTAAAGTAATTTTGCGAGGCCTGTTCACATTATACACTTTGTTATTAAGATCATTGAAAGAATTCGCGAGTAGATGTTTGCTTCTTACGCTCAGAAATTGACTTTAGAATCACTTATGTGCTGATTTTAACTCTTTAGTAGTACGCCAACTGTCGTAGACGTTGTCGTTTTTGACGGTATTATATAAAATTTAGGACTACGTAAAATTTTGTAATATATTTTTCCCTTTGTCGGTTACAAAATCGAAGCAAAAATTTTATTTTTTTTTTTATATTGAACAAGAAAAGCTACGTATAAAGATGTAGAAAAGCGTTGGAAAATTAACTGAGTGTTCTTGGTAGACCTAGAGAAAAGATGTCGATCACGTGAAGTTCTAAAGTGGCAGATTTATATAGAAATGAAACAAATCTTTGTTTTACAAAAATACAAAATGGTACTTCTAGAAAATCAGCTGCATAAGCTGAAATATGGTCTGATCGACGTAAATTATAAACGTACCTTACACATATTTTTCTATTTTGTAAAAATGTTCATGTGTGGTACCAGACACAACCAGTGTTGCCGTTTGAAAATTTTATTTCCGCCCAAAATTCCCCCTAAAAAGTGCCAAAATCAATAATTTATGCCCAAAAATTTAAGCGTTAAAGAAAAGATACAAATATTAAAAGAGCGGGTCCTTTTTGTTCTATATTTTTTTAAAGGCTGAAAAGTACACTGTTTTGCAGCATGGAAGTATGGAAAAATTGATTTTTAGTTTTTTTGATGTATTTGATTTAAAAATTTGTACTTTGTTGCGGCAAAATTCCCTAATCGAAATATTTGTTTAGACTCCATGTGTCTTTGGACCAAATCCGATTCGACAATTTGGAGTCCATTTACAAATGACCCTCTCTCTGTCTGTCTGGATGACTGGTGCGCACGATATCTTTCAAAATAAGTAACATATTTCATCCAAACTTAGCACATATTAATGTTTAAATCAAGATCGGAGATGGAGAACATGGAACCACTCC